TGACTCTCCCTCTCCCCTTGGTTTCCTAGCAACTGTTGCTGAGCAGGTGGTTGCTAGGCAACCGGGGACATCCAGTTGGGTAAGGGCCTCAGTCTACATGGGCACTGATCAGACATCAACTAATATCATTAATCCTAAAAGTGGCCACTGAATCCATTGGTTAGATTTCCTCATCTAATAATTGCTCTTGTTGCACAAAAGAAGAAATGTAGCAAAGTCAGGAAAAATGAGAAAGAACTCACTCCATGAGCACATCATTTAAACAATGTAAAGTGACCCTCTTCACCCTTCTCATTCCAGCCTCTCTCTGCAGGGACACATCATCTTGTCATCCAAGCACACATGGAATATTTTTGTTTATTATTAATTAAAATAGTTGTGCGGAGGCAACACTGGTTTACAACACTATGTTCTAGAAGAATAGATTCACACCTGTACAGATACATATTATCACACCACACCCACCACCAAAACACCACTAATCCTCCACCACTGTCCACTGGGCACCCTCCTCTTCTGTGCTCATCCCACCTTCTCGCCCTGGAAGCCTCTGTTCTGCTATCAGTATTCAAGTGTTTGTTTGGGTTGTTTCTGTTCCTTGGTTTTGTGTCTTTATATTCCACAAATGAGTGAACCCACATAGCATTTGTCTTTCTCCTTCTCACTTTCTAGCACATGTGGCTTTAAACCTTGTTTTGTTTTGTTTTGTTTTGTTTTGTTTTAACTTTGATTTAAATTATCCCAGGCACCTCTCAAGCTACGTGAACTTGTGGAATATTCCACTCATGACTGTGCATGATTCCATGCAATCAGTGCACCACCATTTCATTAACTATTCTCCTCCTGTTCTGATAATGAGTTAGCTTCCAAATTTTTGCCATGACATATAGTACTGCAGTACATACTTTTCTTCAGAGATTTTCTTTATCCTTTAGATCACTGTCTTAAAATCAATGCTGAGGAGTGAGATACTGTATCGGAGGACACGAAGCCTCATCACTTGCCTTCTTCAATTGCTTCCTTCAGGGGTTGTACTAATTTTCTCAGCACCAATAATGTTAAAATGGACAAATCTTATTGCAGAGCTATGGTACTATAATTCTTTCACTTAATGTGAAACTGAGACCCTCTAAATAGAAAGAATTTGCCCAAGGTCGCACCGATACAACTGGACCAAATTCTAGGTGCCAGGGAGGATTCCTAGTCCAGGACATCAACACAGATAACCTGTCGCTGAGTTAAACTGAATCCAAGATTTCCCCATGTGTTTCCTAATCCCTCTACTTGGCCTCAATGTCTAATCCACAGGTTATAGCATCCCTTAAAGGTTAGTGGTCAGCGGGTACTCTGAAATCTTACATCTTCCCAGCTTAATAGGCAATCTTATCTCTGTTTGGGGCTCTGCCATATCTTCTGCCAGTAATCCCCAAAACTAGATTGCTTGCCCCTGGATATGCTGTTGGCAAAGAGGCATTCACCTTATATGTCCCATAAGCACCACAGACAACAGAGCCACATCATAATTCATCATCTTCCTGTAGACCTACTGGGTAAGCATCAGGTACCCTATTTCTTCTTCATCCCATTTATGTTTAGCAAAGTCCCATTTCAGCTCTGAATATCCTTTGAGTCTGTCCTCTTTCTTCACCCCAATTCCACTGTAACTTCCTTTATTCTCCAACCTAGTCTAATGCAATGATGTGCCTATCGGTCATCCTGCCACCATCTGCCATCCCCCTTACATAGTACAGTCAGTCTAAATTCCTGTCTGGCTACATACCCAACCATTTTCTAACTGGTATGCTGCATTCAAATGGCACTCCCTGAAAAGACCTCTCAGTGTATGCAGTATATAGTGAGTAAAAGTATGAGCTCTAGTGTCCTGGCCCTGCAATCATAGTCATCTAACCACAGAGGAGTTACTTAACCTTTCTTTTTCCCTATGATAAATTGCAAAACATGGTTACTAATTTTATCCCTTGCAAAGTGACTCTGCATAGGCTTTACATCTGGATTTTGCCATCTGATTTCTTTGGCCAACAGGACAGCAAATATAATGCCAACAGAGACTTGGGAGTTCCTTGGGCTTTGTAGTTTACTCTCTGGCTGTGCTTGGATCCCTGAGACCACCTATGAATGGGCTCAAGCAAGTCTTCTGGAGGGTTAAAGGCCATGTGACAGATAACTAAGACTTCTGATGAACAGCTTGCCCACCTCCACACATAGCATGAGGTAATTCTAGATCATCCAACCTCACCAGGCCACATGCCAGGCATAATTGATCCTAAAGATCAGCTGAATCAGCTCAAACCAGAAGAAATTCCCAACAAGCCAACAGGATTATGAATAAAAATCACATGGTTTGGTTTGGTCTGGTTTTGCCTATTTTGTTCCTGTGATAGTCTACTTTTCTTTTTAAACAATAGTCCTATGGATGTGTAGTTTATATACCATCAAAATTACCCACTTTACGAGTACACATCAATACATTTTAGAAAATTTAAAGAGTTGTGCAACTATCACGACAGGTCAGGTTTAGAACATTTCTATCACTTCTTTGAAACTGTAATTTCCTCCCTCCAGCCTCAGGCAACCATGTATCTGCTTTCTGTCACTCTCTATTATTTATCTTTCCGGACATTACATATAAATGGAATCATACAATATGTATGATAGACATCTGGCTTTTTTCATTTAGTGCAATGTTTTTGAGGTTCAGTTACATTGTAGCCTTTTGTTGTTGTTGCTGAATATTATTCAGTGACATAGCTCAACCAATGCTATCTACAACATGGTCTGGGCATTGGGGAGACTCCCAAAGAAGATGAGGGGTTTTCTAAACCTCCAAAGAAGATAAAACCATGGGAGTCTCCATGGCAACGCCTACCGAAACTTCCTCATTTGTTCTTGGTTAATAATAGTCTAAAATTAGTTATATGGTTGGCCTGTCTCAATTAACTTGGGTTAAGGAATTAATTGGCATAATACATAACAGAAATTATCATTGCAATAGGCTAGGAAAAACAGATTGTGGCTCTGAAGACAATGGGAAACCAAATTGTGTTAAGCTAACTATGGTGGGTGACTGGAATCTCATCCAGGAGGTGTGCTTTCAGCATAAGTAGATTTTCTGGTGTGCTCTGAAGGGCAGCACTTCCCAGGTGACATGGAGGTTAGATATCCTGAGCTTAGACCAGACTAAGACAATGATTATAGGAGTTAGATAAGAATGATAAGTTGTAAAGTAGAATTTCAAGGAAGACAATATATTAGTAATATTCTTAAGAACAAATGATTTTTAAAACAATAGGATATAGGGATAAGAATCTACATTAGGGAGCTAGTAAGGTGTTAAGCATTACCAAATGTCCCAGATGATTGCCTATGCTGGGAAATGAGGTACATTTAGAAGACTTGATTGTTTCTTATGCTTTTCTTAAGATGACCAAACAAGTTTCTTTCCAGTATGAGGCCATGGGGGTTGCCAAGTGACTATGAAAAATACGTAATAATTATTTTTACTTTGCTTCAATACTTTTGTTGCTGTAATCTCACTGCCTGCTTTAACCTATAAATAAAGACCCACTGAGATGCTCAGTAGGAGATACTTGTACCAGCTAGAGTGTCAATGTCTGCCGATGCCAAAAGACTCCTGACAGCCACCTGTCAGAACTGGACTCTCACATCTGGTGTGGTCTCTGACAATTCAGTTTATCCAGTCACCATATGATGGACATTTGGATCATTTCCAGCTTTTAGCTGTTAGCAATAATGCTGCTAGGGATATTTGTGTACAAGTCTCTATTTTAATATGAAAACACATGTTTTCATTTATCTTGGAGTAGAATTCCTGGCTTGTATGAGAAGTATATGTTTAACTTCTTATGAAACTGCCAAACTGTTTTCCAAAGTAGATGCACCATTTTATATTCCCAGCAAGTTAAGGAAGGTTCCGTATTTTCCACATCCTAGACAATTTGAAGCTTTTAGTTGGACATGCTAAGTAATGAGAATGTGAGCCTTTGGCCACCGTTTACATTCATTCAGTTCATTTAATAATTAATTGAGATCCTACCACTAAGAGACCTAGCTCTGGTCCTGCAAGAAATCCCCCACAATGGATAAGATGTAGAAAGGCTACACCCTGGTGAAATTGTTTCAGTCCTCTATCCCTGGTTCCCCTGGGGCCTTTCAGTTGCCACAGACTGTGAGTTCTCTGTAGGCAGTTGGGGTAGTTTCTGCCAGAGTAGCCCTTCAACCCACTGGGAGCTAGAGGCTGTTTCTCACCCCTCTCCATCCTTACAAGGGAACACCAATCAACAAGTCTTGGAGTCTCAGGTGCTGTAAGAGATGCTGGAAGATGGCGGTGCCCAGCGGCTGCTACAGAGCCAGCGGAAGTCGAAGGGGCGAAAGGAAAAAAGGCTCATGTCAGGCGAGTCTCGGAAAGATTTCATTCCTAATCATATTTGAGAAGCCCCAAAGGCTGGGATCCTGCGTTTGTGGGTGAAGAGTTCCATGAGAAAACCTAGGATACACAGATACAGAGGGAGGGAAGGAAAGGACTAAGGAAAGAACGCAGGTTAACGCCACCGCCGGACCTTGTGGGAGGTTTCTTTACCGACTTTTCTTATAGTGCTTTCTAGCTTTAAAGTTTTCTACAAAGAATATGTATGTAACAAGTAGTTTTTCCGTGTGTTAAATTTTAATGAAAATAGAGATCACAATAAATATTACAAAAGGAGAAATAAAGCCACCGAGAAAGCACTGCGCAGCTGGGATTCTGTGCATTTCAGCTTCCAGACATCGTCTCTCCCACCCCTCACCCCTTGCCCCCCCTTCTCCCCTCAGGAGTGTACTTTGTTGATCTGCCTG